GCCACATCTACTAGCATTTGCTGAGTGATAACTACGTGCCAGCACCATCCCCAAAGTCAATGTCACAGCTAATTTTCTTAAGATCTCTGGGAAGAAGGCTGCTATTTGCTAGATAAGGAAACTAAATTAGAGGTCACCAAGCCTGCCCAAGGTCACCCACCTAGTTAGGGAGACACACAAAGCCAGAACAAGGCTTTCACTCTCTACGTTAATGGTCCCCTGCAGATTGGGCAGATCAGAGAAATCAAGAAAAATTCTAGAAACAAACACACAAAAAAGATTGACGGTTTAGTTTTGCCAAGAATGGATTCTCATTTTAGGAAATAAAAAGGCATTTTTAAAGGTTTGTTTTAATTATGTGTATACATGTGTGTCTGTGTTTGGGTATGTGCATTTGAGTACAAGTACCCATGAATGCAGGTGCCCACAGAAGTCAGACAGCATGCTCTTAACCAATGAGCCATCTCTCTAGCCCCCCAAAAGGGCATTTTCAATATGAAAACAAAGAGAAAATCTCCAAATAAATCCAAGAAATAACAGTGCCTTGAGTGTGTGTGTGTGTGTGTGTGTGTATGAGAAAGAGAGAGAGAGAGAGAAACTGTCTTTTCACTTCACTGCATGCTTTGCCAACTTTACACACCTCTTTGACTCCCCATTTGGCTACCGTGCATCCCATCTTGCCCTGACTAACCTAACACTCACATTCCCATCTCTTAATTTTTAGGAAATTGAGTAACAGCTGTCTGAGACAGAACTAAAATTTGCAGGAGAAACGAATCCCATGAAGACAGTTCTGAAGTCTGCCCGAAAAAGAGCATCAACAGCTACAGAGCAACAGACTTCGGCAGAGTCAACACATCCAAAGGACAGTGGCCCACACTGCTAGGTTCTGAAATGTCACTGCTTTTCAGTCCAATAGACCTTCAGACTCTCAGAGCTCACTGACAGTTCCACATTTGTTTCTTAGGCATGACTTGCCAGAGTGTAAATTCTCGGTTCACCGTGACACTTTCTTCTGCCACTCCATATACAGAACTCATTACTTGGAAAGCACACCCTTCTTCATGAGACCCTTCTCGTAGTGTGTCCCTTCCTTCTACACAGCCTCACCAGTCAGTGTGGCAGCCAAGGTAGGATTCGCAGAAGCTAAGTTCAGCAACATCACATTCCTAACGTCAACATCTAGGTTAAGAATGAAGTATGTCTCTCCTTAAAAAATATTGGAATCTATGAGCTGAGCCACAGTGAAGAATATGGAAATTGACCTTTGAAGGAAACCTGGTTGGAACCTATTTTGAGAGAAACACAAGGTTGAGTGCAAAACCAAAAACTAAACCCCTTACCTTGAATGGCATCCTGAAGGAGGAAGCCACATGCATTCAACAAATACTTAGCACCAGGAATCATTCTAGGCCAGTGGCTCTGAGGCAGGGTTACAGAGCAAATGACAAGATGTGGATATATTTCTGGTTGTTACACGTGGTGGTGGGAGGCTATTCTAATCTCGAGCAAGAGGAGGCCAGGGGTGTCACTAAGCATTCTCCAATACAATAGACAGCCCTTCACCAAAAGGAATCATCTAGCCCAGTACATCAAGAACACTGAGGTTGAGTAACTCCATTCTGGACTTTGGGGACTCCAGAGTCGACAAGCTACAGAAAGAAATCCTTGCCACCTTAGAGCCTGAGATTTGGTATAGAGATACATATAACCGACATAATGTATTAGTAAATTATATTGTAAGTTGTAACAATATTGTTGTAGAACAAACAACTGATAAGGGAGACTGAGAATTTAGGGGAGTAATTGTTAATTGTGAACACCATGGTCACAATAGGTCATACTCAGTGTGATGGGAATCATGGGAATATGGGAATGGCATTTAAATGGAGACTAGGAGTTGATGAGGTAGTAAGTATGCTGGCTGTCTGGGCAAAGGATGGTTCAGGCAGAGGCAAGTGCCCTGAGGTAGAAGGGCTATCCCAAGAATAGTGAGGACAGAGAAGTGTCGAGATAAGGTCAGAGCTGACAGGCAGTCTGGCCACATGGACTGTCTCGGGCCATGTGAAGGACTAAGAAAAAAATAGGAGCCATGGAGGGCTTTGATGAGAGGATGGCATGCACTAACTTCAGTTTTAACATCAGGCCAGATAATTCTTTCTCTTGGGAGCTGTCTTGTGTATTGTAAAATGGCCAGCAGCATCCTGGGCCTCTAACTGCTGGAGGTCAATCAGTGTCTCCTTAAGGTGATGATCAAGTGTCTCCAGAGGGAGACAGATTTGTTCTTTGACTGAAAATTAGGTTTGTTTGCTTTTTATTTCTGTTTGTCTGTGTGCATATGTGTTCATGTGTGTGTTACAAGCACATGTGTGTGCATGCACATACATATGGAAGCTAGGTTTACCTCAGGTATTTTCCTCAATCACTCTCTACCTTGTTTTTTGAGACAGGGTCTTTCACTTTTCTCAGGAACTATGCAATTCAGATAGGCTAGCTTGCCAGGAAGCCCCAAGGATCTGCTTACTGTCTCCGCCTCCCCAGTCCTTTTTTATGTGGGCTTTAGGGATTGAACTCGGGTCCTGTTGCTTGTGCAGCAAACATCAGGAAAAAAGAAAAGAAAAGAAAAGAAAAGAAAAGTAGCCTAACAATAACATTGGGCAAAAGAAAAGAAAAGAAAAGAAAAGAAAAGAAAAGAAAAGAAAAGAAAATCAGCCTAACAATAACATTGGGTTGCTAAATGGAAAGTCTACTGAAAGTGGCCAAGGGTAGAAGGCAGTAGCTCAGTTAAGAGTCTAGTGCAACAACCTGAGCAAGGACTGACACTGACATGGCCAAAGGCACAGCAGAGGAGTCTGCAAGAAATGGGCAAACTCTGGAGCAATCTACATAATACAGTGGACAGATGACCTGCTACAGGAGTCTGCAGCTTTTCATTGCAACTTCTTCCCAGTTAGGACTTAGGAGCTATCCCAGCAAAGACTTGGGATACAAAGCCAGGAGAAGGCCCTAAACAACATGTGGCCCTTCTAAAGCCACACAACAGATGTCGATGGCAACACCTTAAACTGTGGAAAACAGTATAAGGAAACATTGCTAACTTCATATACTTATTCACAGATTTTATTTCACTGGTTTATTTCCAAAAGCATGTGTCTGCTCCACACACAAGTTTTACAGCAACTTTTTAAATTTAGTCTTCCTTTTCTGTACTGGCTCTGCCCTACACCTGCTTCTATCATCAATGTGTGAAGCCATGTCTTCCCACATACCCACATTTTTCCTTACACAAATTTCCTAGTTAGCTACAGAGGATATGTACCCTTGCAAGTCTTTTTTTTTTTTTCTGACTTTTGACAAAGAACAGGCCCAAATCCTTCCACAAGCGTGTGGGGGCACTCATTTGACTTTTTTCTAATGGTGTTTTTCTTACTCCCTCAAATTCATTTAATGTTATGTATCAGCTACCATCAAAAATGTTCCAAACAGTCCAGTTAATTCATTTCTTTCAGTATCTCTCTCTCTCTCTCTCTCTCTCTCTCTCTCTCTCTCATTCTGGTCAAGTAAGCATTTACTTATAGAAGCAAAAGCAGGCACTACTCAGTAAAACACTGGTCCCTTCAGCCACATGCAGATCAAGTCCCAATGAGCACAACCAACAATGCCCCCTACACAATATCACTCAAAGCCCCCACCACACACAGTCTACAATCACATACAAAATAACAAAATAACCATTATGAAAAGAAGCCATGAGCGAAAGGCTGACTTTATGCATCTCACTGCTAACACATTTCCTTCCACTTCACAATAAGCAGTGTAAAATGCTGCTTTAGCAAGGGCCGGTCAGGAGGTTCTGCTCTTTCCAGACTTTCTTCCCCAAGCTGCCCAGCCCTGAAGGAAAACTAACCTGGCTCCCCATTCCAGCTGCCTCCATCTCTCCCTAAGCAAGAATTGTACCTCACTCCTGCCTCCTACTCTTTCATTCTCCCTGAGGGCTGGACCCTCCCTGAAACCCCTCTGCCAGGGGCCCTAGTCACCGTGAGGATACTCCCAATCACAGCCTTATCTCACAATTGAAAGGGGTGGGAATCGGGCCTTTTTGGCTACCACAGATTCCAGTGACCACCCCCTTCTTTACAAACACTGCAAATAGGAAGTGCACGGTGGACCAGAGAGAGCAAAGACCAAGAGAAATATACCCAAACCAGTCCTGCCAGGCAAGTAACAACGAACTAAAGCTCAGAGAAAAGGGTACTAGAGGTGTGCAAAGGGGTGGGAGCTATCAGATCCGAGGGCTCCTTCTCTCTGGTACTAGTTTTTGAAGCGCCGGGCGAAATTAAACACGTGTCTCTGTGAAGAGGCCACCCCCAGCAAACCCCAGGCCCCAGGGCTTTTTTCTTGCTTTGGCTCGGGACAGTTTGCCCTACAGAAGGAGACAGGCTCACCCGCTGCCCCCACCCCCATCCCCTTCCAGACTGGGGTGCTGCCCACGGACAGGTGGAAGGCGGAGCCCAAAGGAACCGCACCTGGAGGCCGACGCCAGTGGTTCTCCGGGAGGAGCTGGACTCCTAGAAGACTCCAGCCAAGTTCTTTGCTTCCCTGGAGCGTCGGGTGCAAGCTCACTTTCTCCGAGCCCACAGTCCGCTAGGATCTTCAGGAAAAACTTTCCCCATCACACCTGGTCAGCCTCCCTGCGCCTCCGACCCCACCTCCCGCCTTAGCTCCCCAGCCCCCATCCAGTCTCAGCAGCTGCCATCTACATCCGAGGGTCCCTGCGCCTGGATGGGCCGTCCCCACGGACCCGCGGTGTCCCCAGAGTGCCGCTGTCGGACACCGGGGAGCGAGACCCCGGCGGCCAGGGGCCAGGTCCCCCGCGCCCCAGAGCAAGGGCACCGGGTCCTTGTCCCAGCGCTCGCAAGACCTGCTGTCCTCGCCCCAGCGTGGCAGACGCGCGGTCCGCGGGCCTCCCGCCGCGCCTTCCTCCAGCTGTCACCACTCACCTGCTCTTCAGAGGTTGACTTTTGAGTTCGTAATAGGTTTTGGGTTCTTCGTGAAACTCCTCCCCGACTTCGAAATCCGGCACGATCCCGGATTCGGACTGCATGGCTCCTGCCTACCTGCCTTTCACTGCTCGGAAGTGGGAGTCGAACCCGGGCCCCGGACGAAGGTGACCAGGCCTGGTTCCCCGAGCCGTGCGCCCAGCGCGGAACCCCACTCAGCCCTCTAGCCCGCGCGCTGCTGCCTGCCCCAGAGCTGAGAGTTTACACTCGCACCCCGGCGGGAGGGGCCGGCCCCTGTGCCGCCTGGGATTTGTAGTTCCTATCTGGCTGAGCACCCCGACTCTCTAAAGCAGCTGCTCCAGAGAACACTACAACTTCCAGAAGGCTAAGCGGGGAAGAGGCAACGTGGTGGACACCGCTAGTGCAACTCCTGTTTGGATTCATTGTCAATGTCAGCAGCTCCTCTCTTGTCTCTCTTACTTGCCTCAAGGGTACAGACTTGGCTGTTTAATATTAATTAATAAGAATGGACTCGGCTTGCTGTTCTACTGCCTCTTCTCCCCACCGGTTCAGACATTTCGAGAGCACCCGGAGTCTTCATTTTAAAAATAAAATACTAAAGGATTTTGGCACCAGAAAGTTTCTGCATTCAAGACAGTCTTTAAAACGCTTCTATCAGCCTCCATGCTTCTCTGGGCTGCTGGGACACATCAACTTGTCCTCGAATTGAAATAGAGTGTTGGATCCTTCCTTCCCCCTCGTAATGAAAACATTATTGGAGAAGTTCTTGTGCGATCTTTTTCTGGAGCTAGCTCTCTGGGCTCTTACAATACTTGTCATCAGCTGAACGGCTCCCTTCCTTTTATCCAACTAGCCATGTGTAATCTAAAGCAGCACTTGAAGGATTCCGTTAATTTTAAAAGGCACCAAGTTACCAAACAGCGTTGCCACCGTCTGCTTTCAATTTCTCAGTTGGCTAAGAGTTCAAATGAGATTGTTCTAACTGTGCAAGCAGTTACTGAGCCCCTTCCCAGCTTCTCAACATTCGCCTAGGTAACAGAATAAATTATTCTGTTTTAGCTCATTTGTATTTCCAGACCTGTGTTCCGATTAGGTCTAATAGATGTCTTCCTTTTATTTAAAAAGAAAGAAGTGCTTTGAGACATCAGATTTAAGGCTGGCATTTGAAGATAGTCGAAATCCCTAGTTCTTCTAAGAAATCCTGTGAAATCATAGCCATGTTATATGATTCCTACAAGCCTCGCTTTCTTCATCTATAAAGGAAGGAAACCTGTTTGAGATGGTGTTACAAGGTCAAAAGTAAGAAAAATTGGCCTGGTGTGGTGGCTTTAACTCCAGCAGAAGCAGGCAGATCTCTGTGAGTTCAAGGCCAACCTAGTCAACATAGCAAGTCCCAGGCCATCCAGAGCTACATAGTGACAACCTGTCTCAAATAAATAAATTTAATTTAATTAAATAAGAAAAATTGACAAGCAATGTATATAAGCTGTTGGGTAGGAAAAATGGCTCAAATAGTAAATATGTTTGTCACAAAGCCTTACAATCTGAGTTTGATCCCCAGGACCCACATGTGGGAGGAGAGAACCACTAACATCTGGCCCAAAAGTAGCCCTCTGCCCTCCACACGTGGACATGTGCCCCTTATGCACACATGCATGAACATAAATAAATAATAAATAAATAAAATGTAATTTTAAAAAATAAGTAGCTCTATGATTATTCTATTTTCTAAGACTTTAAAACTATTTTGTGTATGAGTGTATTGCCTGCATGTGTGTAAGGGCACCAGTGTCATGCAATACTCACAGAGGCCAGAAGAGGGTATCAGATTCCCCTGGAACTGGAGTTATGGATGGTTGTTAGCTGCCATATGGGTGCTGGGATTCAAACCCAGGTCCTCTACAAGAGCAGACAGTGCTCTAACTGCTGAGCCATCTCTCCAGCCCTAGTCATTCTTTTTTTGTTGTTTTTAGCCTATCTTGAAGATATTCTTTTCAAACTAGCATCTCTTCTGTGTATATGTCCTTTCAGACAAGTGGTCATCTTAGGAGGAAACTCTAAGAAGGCTACAGTAATGGCTGGGTGCCTCCCAGGAGCTTTACACTCCTAAGTCTTGCCTCACAGTGAAGCGTTTTAAATTTTACAGCTGAAAAGATCACTGGAGAGGGTGATTTGCTGAGGACTTGGAAAAGTGTACTCTGTGTTGCAGTAGCAATTACAAAAATCTTATAATAAATACAGTTCCCCAAATATTTCCTCAGGTCCTTTATTATATAAACAGTAACAAAACACAATACCTGAAAACACCACTAAAGACTTCAGGGTGTTCTTTGACATATAAACTACTAGAAATTAGATGTCAAAAGTGATTAAGTGGAAGGGGAAAGGTAAATCAAGAAGGGAGCACTTCTAATCTCATCCAAGTCCTTCATTTCAGTGCTTAGATGTGGAAGGAAGAATTGATGAACTTGGAGCAGTTCCAGGCATTTTAAGAGATATGGACCATAGATGCAAAATGTTGCACATAACAACAAGCTCTCTTCACCAAATGTCATTGACACCCCCATTGAGAAGCACCCAAGTTCTCATTTTCTTAATCCTTTGGTCCATCAAAAGTTTTTAACCTGAACAAAACTATGCACCTTCTTAGAATACACCAAAGCAAAATGTTTTGCGTATGGTATGCTGGCCCTTTAAAGGTTGTCATAGACTTTATTTTGGAAGTGAGGTTTAGAACAATTATCAGGGCTGGAATGTAATTTAATTGGCAGAGTCCTTGCCTAGCATATATGAGAACCTGAGTTCAGTCCTCAGCACCACATAAACCAAGCAGTGTGGTGGCACATACCTATAATCCCAGCACTTAGAAGAGGTAGAAGCAGGAGGATCGGCAGTTAGAGATCATCCTTGACTACATAGGGAGTCTGAGGTCAGCCTGACTACACCATACCTTGTCTCAAAAAAAAGAAAAGAAAGCTGTAATGAAACAGTCTATTATGTTAATCATTATATGGAAGAGTGGGTGACCTACCAGACCTAAGGGATCATCCTCAAAGGGGGCAAGAAAAAGTAGGAAAAGCCAAGACTTATGAACTTGCCTGCATTGAAGTACTGTTTCCAGAAAGATCTCTGGGGTGCAACCCTGAGTTGAGATTGCCTGAGAGTCACACAGATGGCTGTATTTCCCTCATTTACATCTTTTCTTTGATCTCATTCTCTTTTGTTCAGGGAAACATCACAGGGTTACCCATTACAGTACCATCTGCCACCCAGTGGGAGTAGGTATGTGACCTTGTCCCACCAGTATATAATTCCATCATTTTTCAAAAAATATTTTATTTATTATTATTTTTTTACAGAGCATAGGGTAGGAGTTTACTTACAGAAGAATGAGAGCCCCACATTTATGGCTGCATTATGAAGTCCACACTCAAATACAGAGCCTGTGACCTCCCGACAGCCCCACAAAATAGTGAGAGAGGTGCCTCTTAGTGTTCTTGGCTTATATATCCTTTGCCCCTCCCCTCACATGCAGCTAAGGTTGACTGATAGCCTGGGAGGGGTAACTGACTCCCCCCTTGACTCCTTGATGAGCATGGGAAGGAGGTGTGACTAGAGCTTGCCGGCCCAGTGGTTTGGAGGATATTTCTAGTTAATACTCCACTCCTTCCTCCAGCTCTTACATTCTTTCCACCAACCTCTTCCACAAAAGTCCCTGAGCCTTGGAGGGGATGGTAGGTGTGGGATGATCTTCCTCCCATTATGGCAAGGCACTGAACTTTCAGGTCTCTGCATCATCTGTTTTCCATGGGCTATTGGCCAGTTTCAGTGGAATTCCATCTACTATAAAAAACACACACACAGCAAGAAGCAAAGACATCTAAACAATGGCTGCTTTAATAACTTAACCTATGGGTGTGAAAACAAATGCTTGGTCAGTACTTTGGCAGGTGCATCATTTCCATCTTACAAAGCAATTGCAATGACTGCCCACTGGGGCCTATATTCTCCCCTGCTACAGGGGATTGGCCAGGTCTACAGTACCAGATGAGTGGTTCCACCCATAGGAGCAGGCATTATATACAATCGAAAATTTGCTGGCTGCACATACACTAGATGCTCCACTATTGCACCAGCAGGAACATCTTGTTTGGTATGTTGATAGTGCATGTGGGGTCCATCCTAGAGGAGAATTATAGAGGATTATTCTCCCCCAGTCATCTGCATATTGCTTTTTGGTACCATGAAAGCCACCCATCTACTGCCAGGGTGTTTCCAGCTTAGTCTAAGCTTGATATTTCCCTCTCCCATACTCACATCATGCAGTGTCTTCAGCAATAGGGTTTCTCAGTCCACTTCTGGTGTACAACCAACATTATTGGCAATGGCCTTTGTTGTTTGGGGGACCTCTAGGGTCCCTCAGGCCAACAGATCATATGGGACAACCCACCTGACACTGGAATTTTCATTTAACGACCGTATTGCTTCTGGAAGGCTTCCTTCAGTCCCCAAAGGGTTGCTTAAGGCTTTTTTTTCCCCCTTTATTCCTATAGTTGTTTGTATAGTCCTCCTCCCTGCTCTTCCTTTAACTACTTCCTTTTTACATATTTCTCCCTTAATAACACCTTTATCCTACATCACAGGGTTACCCATTACAGTGCCATCTTCCACCCAGTGGGAGTGGGTATGTGACCTTGTCCCAACCAGTACATAATCCCATCTTTTTAAATAACTTCTTGTTATTGACAATTTCTCCCTTAATAACACCTTTATCCTATGTCACAGGGTTACCCATTACAGTGCCATCTGCCACCCAGTGGGAGTGGGTATGTGACCTTGCCCAGACCAGTTCGTAATCCCATCTTTTTAAATAACTTCTTGTTATTGACAATTTAATAATTTAATGCATATTTATAATGTATTATTATTAGAAGTCCCCTCTCTTACTGCCTTCCCCCTTCCTCCTGAATGCCTCTTCTTCCCAACACATCTCCTTTCTACTTCAATGTCTTCTTTCCAATAACCCACAGAGCTTACTTACAACTGCTTGCATATACATGGGTGCGGGGTTATTTACTGGACCATAGGCAATTTACTAGTGACTATACACCTTATAATATTCATTTCTTTAACCACAGTGACTCCTTTAGGAATTGACAAGGGGCCCTAACATCACTATAAGTACTCCTAGGGAATTTTCAGCTAGGATGACTATAGAACAATTCCAATGTGGGAA